ATTGACCTGGGAACCTTTGATGTGACCTCTCATGCCTATGTACTGGACGACACTCCGTCCGTGATGTCTCTTGGGAAACGATGCATGGAAGAAGGATATTCCTTTGTATAGCCATCTGGTCAAATGCCTTTCATGATTGCGAAGAATGGAGAACGCATCGATTTGACAATCCATGACAACATCCCCTACGTTGATCTTGGAACTTACGAATGCACTCCTCATGAATGTCATCATGCATCAAAGATCCATGACCTATTGATACATCCTCAAATCGGAGTCAATGATTTCAACGACATTGATGATGTTGGTCAACCCTCACGAAGAGTACATCTCGATGGAGAAAGTGGTCTTGAGACATCAACTGAGGGTCACAGCTGTTCCCGATATGTCAAGAAGCTCAAGGTGAAGAAGAAGAAAAGAGCAATGAACCGGCAGAAACATTCAGCAACCCCAGGAGAAGAAGAAGAACCACCTGAGGGCGGCGAGTACGAACCAGGAACTCCGATTGACGAGCCTCCTGGAGACGAGACTGACTTTGAAGATGATGGTCATGGTGCTCCTGAAGATGCCGCTGAAGGTGATGAAGATGACATCGAGATCGATGTTGTTGAAGGTGAATCTAGGGTTGCCAAAAGAGGAACACTCAAGAGAGAAGCTAATAGCCTGAATCACAAGTTGACCCACAGATACAAGAATCCATATTGCGACTCATGCATTCGAGCGAAGATGAAGCATTTCAAGACTCGTCGTGGTGCATACAAGAGGGAGCTCAAGAAGTTTGGCGACCTCATTACCTTTGATGCGGTGGACACATCCAAAGTCCATGATGACGTGTTGGTCCTCGAGAAGGAAGTGTTGGTTGGCAGAGACTGTTATACAGGAATCATTGGTGCTTATCCATCTGATCGAATGACCAAAGACGATGTAGTTAGAGCAGTGAAACAGTTCATCGGTGCCAAGAAGGTTAGACAGGCCTACTCTGATCATGCTCCTCAGTTCATTGAAGCTATGAATGAGATGAAGATACCAATTGATCATTCGTTACCTGGAAGACCTCAAACCAATTCAATTGCCGAAAGAACGAACCAATTTATTCTCACAGCTACTTCTACATGTCTTTTGGAAGCCGGATTACCACCTTGTTTCTGGAGAACAGCAATCCTTTGTGTATGTCATCTACTCAATGTGGAACCCAACGATGATGAATTGAGCGCTTGGTGCGAACTCCATGGATCTGAATTTGCTGGCAAACTCATTCCCTATGGTGCTCGTGTGAACTACAAGCCTCCGAAGACCAGAGAAGCGGGACAACTTCACAAGTTTGGGCCTGATTCTATTCCAGGAGTGTTTGCAGGGTATCACGTTGGTCCAGGGATGCATTGGTCAAGACAATACAAAGTATGGCCTCTGAGTGAATTCGTACATCAAAATCTTGGTGATGATGCTAGCAAATCTGAACACCGTCTTCTCAAACCTCATTTGACTGAAAAGGTCGAGATGGTCACTCCATTGACATTTCCATGCAAGCAGGAATATGAGAGGGTGAACACCACATTGGAAGGGATGAAAGAAAGAGAAATCCTCGATGGCGATCCCTCCAAAGTGCCTCATGGAGATGACGAAGAACATGACCATGATGAAGATGATGATGAGCTTGATGACGGAGACGACGGTGGACCTGGACCAAGTGGTGGAAAAGTCTCAAAGAAGCCTCTTGATGACCCTGAGGATATCTTCGACAAAGACAAAGATCCAGAAGAGATGACCCTCCAGGAATTGATCGACGCCCAACCAGACCATTGGAAGAAGGGCAAAGCTGGAGATGGGAAGGTATACCTCAATGACGATGGTGAGAAGGTCAAGTTGAACGTCAAGGGTTCCCCATACAAGATTGGAGATGATGGTAGACGAATGTTCAGGACGTCATTGCGTCCCAAAGGAACCTATTCTCCTGAAGAATGGCGCAAACTCTCTCAATCTGACCGGAATACCATCCTCAAAGCCGAGAAGAAGAAGTTGGAGAAGAAAGAGGCCGATGACAAAGCCAAAAGATTGGTCGAAGAAAAGAAGAAGAAGGCAACGAAGAAGGAGAAGAAAGATTCAAAGAAAGACAAGGACGAGCCAAAGTCCAAGGACGATGAAGGTGGTGATGAAAGTAAGAAGGATGACTGTCATTCAAAGTCAAAGAAATCCGATGCAGGTGTTGGTGAAGTTGTGAAGAACAAAATTACCTTACCTATCACATGTACAAGTACTTATCTTGATTTATACGACATAGTCGATGATGACGATGTACATGGAAGACGATATATTGATTGTCGAAAAGTGAAGAGGAATGCTGATGCTAGTCCATGTTCCGATGCTTCTACTGACGTCCCGGACGACGAGGAATATCTCACTGAATGGGATGAATGGTCGGAGGTCGAGAAAGGACGTGGCCCAAAAGCATCGTGGAGTGGTGAAGTTTGGAGCACATTGTCAGGTGAGATTTCGAGGTTTTCCATGGCTACGCCAGGAGAGTCGACAATGATCAAAAATGGCAAATGTGTGAACGTCAAGAACGTGAAGAACATAGCCACTGATGATGATGAATACATTCCATTCCCAACTATGCCGTGTACTTCTGCATCAAATCAAAGTCACCGAACCAAGATATCATCAGAAGGTCTTGGAAGCAAACTTTTCAATGCAATGGTTTCACGACCTGTGGGCAGAGCCGAGATTGAGTCTAACCCAAAGGCCAAAGAGGCAATGCTCAAGGAGTGGAAAGGCCTTCGTGATCAAGAGGTATTTGACTTTACAATGGTTCGTGAATACGACGATGTTGTTGCAGAGGCCAAGAAGAACAATAAGGAAGTACACATGGCCAGGGTCCATGGCATATGCGTGGAGAAGAACTACCAGCTGTCAGAAGACAATCCTGGACGAAAATTCAAGGGAAGAGGCGTTCTGCTAGGAAATCAGGTGAAGAATCAGCATTGGGAGGCAGCATTCTTCCAAGACTTGGGAAATTCCCCTGCTTCCTTCGAGGCCTCACGATGGGCAGATTTTTACGGTTGTCTTCCTGGGCACTCCGTCAAGTTGGCAGATGCGATTCAGGCTTACATCCAGGCTAAGTTGAAGGGACCTTTGTGTTGGGTGGAGTTACCCACTGATGCATGGCCTCCGGAGATAAAGTATTGGAAGTTCCGTCGCCCTGTCGTAAGACTCGACAAAGCCCTGTACGGACACCCTGATTCAGGCACGATGTAGGAACAACATTGTGACAAGAAAGTTCAAGAAATTGGTTTTAAGCCCATTGGTGAGGAATGGCCTTCTATGTATTTTCATGATGAGCTCAAATTGCTGTTGGTAATCTATGTGGATGACCTTAAGCTTGCTGGGCCCTCCGAAAATCTGGCCAAAGGTTGGGATATGCTGCGCACTGTTCTGCGCATTGAACCCGAAACCGATCTGGGACTTTACTTAGGATGTGTTTTATCCCAAGGTGAGACCCAATTGCATAACGGTAAGAAAGTCAAGACCATAACTTATAACATGGAAGGATTGTTAAAGTTATCGGTGGAAAAGTATCTTGACATCATTGGCAAGGACACAAAATTGAAAAAGGTATCAACGCCGAGCCTTCCAGAGGAAACGAAAAGCAGCCCGTATCGAGCTCCTTCCGATGGAAAACGCAAAGTTGAGTGTCCTTGGTGTGCACATTCCTTCGATCCAGATATGCCTGCTCTCTCTGAGACTGGCAACTCACGTCCTGGCCAAGACAGTGAGACGCTGAGCCGTGGGAATCTAGCTCCGCATGCAGCTAGTGTGCTTATGAAGCTGCTTTATGCAGCCCGCATTGCGCGGTTTGACCTGTTGAGATCCATCAATGCATTAGCACGTAATGTGACTAAATGGACGAAGGATGATGACGCCCGTCTTCATCACCTAATGTGTTATGTTAATTCCACATTGTCCCTCAAAATGATAGGATGGGTCGGAGACAAAATTGAAGATTTATCATTAGGACTATTTGCAGATGCGGATTTCGCTGGATGTGCCCAATCCTTGAGATCAACTTCAGGATCGCACTTACAAGTCCAAGGTAAGTTCACAAGATTCCCACTTGCTGGTGGAAGTAAGCGACAAGGGTGTGTTAGTCATTCAACCCCCGAAGCTGAAATTGTGGCTGCAGATACTGCACTTAGGACTCTAGGAATCCCCGCACTAAGTCTGTGGAAAGTCTTAGCCAAAGTTTTTCCTCAACTCCTGTTTCATGACGATAATCAAGGTATGATTGGTGTTGTCAGATCAGGACGGAATCCAACCATGCGTCATTTGGAGCGCACACATGGTATTTCCATTGCCTCCATGCATGAACATTTCCAAAAGGATCATTTTGTATTGATCTATGAAATTACAGCCAAAATGGCAGCCGATATCCATACTAAAGGATTCAAGAATCCCATGGCATGGAAGAAAGCTTGTATGCTAATCAACTTGTTGGAACCTCAGGACTTGCAGAGTAAAGAAGTCTTAGACATGTTGCAGCCAAGCACCGATGTCGATATGACTACTCGACAAGTTTTCCAATCCAAAACCGAGGATATCCCAAACTTCCCATACACGGAAACCTTGATGGTTTTCTTGCCATATGGTTTGATAGACTCTGTTCGGAACCAAATCTGGCTGGCCAGATTTGATTCGGTGCTTCTTTTTATGGACTTTGCCTTATTCTAATTCCAGCTGAGGTTGTAAGTACACATAGGGGTACCTATGCAACATGTGTCACATAGTACCCCTTGTTGCTGGCTAGAGTTACTCCGTTGTGCAAGTGCTTGGCTCTGCCCCAGCTTTTCAGAGGTGGTTGCGCCATGTAATGTATTTAACAGTGAAAAAATCCTTTCCCAAAATTTACCCGAAAATAGCACATACTGTATGCCTGAAGATAGCGCAACCCTACATGTACCATCTATCAGACCTTTTCTGGGAGTACTGCCTGTGTAAAAGGGATGTTCTCACCTGTTTTTTCTGATGCTTGCCAAGAGGATAAGAGGGTTGCTTGGGTTGTAACCACTTTGCTTGCATTTCTTTCTTGACCAAAGAACATGGCTGGTGAGAGCGGCAGATGCGGCGTCAAATTGGGCCTTCCCCTCTGGCATGCCCAAAATTTCTTGCCAACTGGCAGCACAAAGGACCCCTGCCATGATAGACAGGCTCTCAGAGGCACCTTTGGTCGTGAGTGCTACATATTCCTTGGGCAAACCTTCGGTCAACTTGGCCATTTCGGAATGAAACTTCGCCATCATTTCAAGTTTCGGTCCCAACTCCTTCAAGTTGATGCGGAGCTCCGCAAAAGTCGGATCTTCTGTCTTCAGCCACTTCACCACTTCTTCCTTCGCTTTTCGCGTCCTTGGTCCAGTGACAACGTGAATTTTCTTACAATTATGAATGGGTTCTGGCTAGAAAAATTATCTGTTAAACATGACCCATCCGCACGCAAGCTGGCAGCCAACTCTTGTAAAAAAAACTAGCACGCCACCAAGCAATGCTGGCAGCCAGCTCTAATGAAAAATTGGCACGCCACCAAGCAAGCTGGCAGCCAGCTTTCGCAAAAGAGCTGGCACGCCGCCGAGCAAGCTGGCAGCCAGCTCTTTTGAAAAGCTGGCACACAAGCAAGCAAGCTGGCAGCCAACTCTTTCAAAAGACTGGCTTGCCACTGAGCAAGCTGGCAGCCAGCTTTCGCAAAAAAGCTGGCACGCCACCGAGCAAGCTGGCAGCCAGCTCTTTCCAAAAACTGGCACGCCACCGAGCAAGCTGGCAGCCAGCTTTCGCAAAAAAGCTGGCACGGCGGCAAGCAAGCTGGCAGCCAACTCTTTCAAAAGACTGGCACGCCACCGAGCAAGCTGGCAGCCAGCTTTCGCAAAAAAGCTGGCACGCCGGCAAGCAAGCTGGCAGCTAGCTCTTTTGAAAAACTTGCACGCCACCAAGCAAGCTGGCCAGCTTCAACAAAACGTCATGTCCAACACTTTCGAGCTGAGCAGCACATCGGCAAATTCTTCGTAAGCCTTCATGCACTGCTTGTGGAGGTTGTTGTGCATCTCCTAAGTTCTGCAAAAGTCAGCACACCACACCTTCAAGCAAATATTTTCAAAACAATGGCTGAAAAAAACACAGAAGCCTATCCTTCTCCAAACAGCCCATCTTCTGAAGAAGGATGGTTCCGAGCTGACCTCCTTGGCAATGCCCTGGACTCATCAGCTCATTGTTCACATCGCACCATGAGCAAACCCCCATGGTTGGGAGCTTCTGAGTTCCACTTCTGTCAATGTCCAAGGAAGCGAAAACTTTGAAAGTGCTCACCCCATCTTCGGAATCGCACCTGATGTTCATGGGCTCCTTCATCAGCGCTCGCACAGTCAAGAGCACTTTCCACAGGTGGCTTGCGGCCATGTTGTCATTGACCGCCCCATGAGCTTCAAACCACTGGCTGAGCGTTTTCATTGAACTTCCCATTGATTGTGTCTCCAACTTGTGAAGGACAGAAAGATTAAGACTGTGTGGAGGTGCCTCTCCTTGCGCCACCTTCAGAATCAAATCTATGCTGCTGTCTACTTCCTTGCACTTCTGGAAAACTCCATGAAGGGTCTTTTCTTGGAGGCTTTCATACCGAGACTCCAACTGGGCAGCCCACTCCTCCACCATCCTTTTCTCCTCTTGAAACGGCATGGGAAGTGTTGAGAGAAGCTGTGACAACCCACAGAATTGCGCCAGGTCAGGGCCATCCTTCCGATTGACTTTGCGGTAAATCTGGACAAACGCTGTTGCAGACTTGTATTGGCCTTGCAGCTTGCGCGTACTTTCCCTTGTCCAACCCCAGTCAGTCACCAAACACAGAGGTGCTGCCTCAGCATCTTCATGTTTGAGTGAATCCATGGCCGCCGTCAGCTCAGTGTCTAAGAAGTCCAAGAAAAAATCCTCTGCAGACGCAAGTTTGCCTGCAAGCTCTAGGTCATGCGGCTCACACATGCGTGCTTTCGCCACCAAGGCAGGCACCACGCTGAAGAGATCCTTTTTCTCCTTTTCACTGATGTGACTTAGCATGCTCAGAACCTCAGCACGTGTGGCTTCCTTCACTTCATCCACGCTCTCTTCAGCCAGCTGCTTCTGCAAGTCTTGCAGGTTTTTCACATGCTTCGCCACCAGCTTCCCCACGCTGCTTTTCGCCTTGCAAATCCACTCCACCGCTTTCTTCGCATCGTCGCTCAAAGCAGTGCCATTTTCCAAGCCCAAGACCGTGAGGAAACCTCGGTGAATCAGCAAAATCAAACTTGGATAAAGCCAAGTCTTTAAATTAAACGAAACCCGTCAGCTTGGTCAAGCTTTATCCGGCCGGGTTTGAGATCAGAGGCAAAGAGATCGAAATCTCGGCCAGATACAGCCAGATTTAATCAGATCAGATCAGATCCAATGAGATCCAAGCAGATCTGGCTAGATCTCAGCCAGATTCAGCCAGTTCCGGCCAGATCCAGCCAGATTTAATCAGATCAGATCCAACAAGATCCAGCCAGATCCGGCCAGAGCCGGCCAGATCCAGCCAGATCCAGCCACATCCATCTAGATCTAGCCAGATCCACCCACATTTAGTCCAATCAGCTCGAAAGAGATCCAACCAGATCCAGCCAGAGCTAACCCAACCAGATCTGGCCAGATCTCAGCCAGATCCAACCAAATCTGGCCAGATCTAAGCCAGACACAGCCTTGTTGAATTAGATCACCCAGCCAGATCCAGCCAGATCTGGCCAGATACAGCCATATTGAATTAGATCAGATCCAGCCAGATCCAGCCAGATCCGGCCAGATCTGGCCAGATCCACCCAGATCTAGCCAGATCCAGCCAGATCCGGCCACTAGCAAGATCTAGCGGCAGATCCAACCAGATTTAATCAGTCGAACGAAATCCAAGCACATCCAGCCAGACCTGACCAGATCCAGCCAGACCTGACCAGATCCAGCCAGATCATAGATACCATTAAATCTAATCAATTCAGATCCAGCCAGATCTAGCCAGATCCAGCCAGATCTTTGCCAAAGCAATTCAGATCCGGCCAAATCCAGCCAGATCTAGCCAGATTCAACCTGATTCATCAGATCAGATCTAACGAGAGCCAACCAGATCCAGCCAGATCCGGCCAGAGCCGGCCAGATCCAGCCAGATCCAGCCACATCCATCTAGATCTAGCCAGATCCACCCACATTTAGTCCAATCAGCTCGAAAGAGATCCAACCAGATCCAGCCAGAGCTAACCCAACCAGATCTGGCCAGATCTCAGCCAGATCCAACCAAATCTGGCCAGATCTAAGCCAGACACAGCCTTGTTGAATCAGACCCAGCCAGATCCAGCCAGATCTGGCCAGATACAGCCATATTGAATTAGATCAGATCCGGCCAGATCCAGCCAGACCTGACCAGATCCAGCCAGATCTGGCCAGATTTCGGCCAGATACCATTAAATTTAATCAATTCAGATCCAGCCAGATCTAGCCAGATCCAGCCAGATCCAGCGAGATCTTTGCCAAAGCAATTCAGATCCGGCCAAATCCAGCCAGATCTAGCCAGATTCAACCTGATTCATCAGATCAGATCCAACGAGAGCCAACCAGATCCAGCCAGATCCGGCCAGAGCCGGCCAGATCCAGCCAGATCCAGCCACATCCATCTAGATCTAGCCAGATCCACCCACATTTAGTCCAATCAGCTCGAAAGAGATCCAACCAGATCCAGCCAGAGCTAACCCAACCAGATCTGGCCAGATCTGAGCCAGATCCAACCAAATCTGGCCAGATCTAAGCCAGACACAGCCTTATTGAATTAGATCAGACCCAGCCAGATCCAGCCAGATCTGGCCAGATACAGCCAGATCTGGCCAGATACAGCCATATTGAATTAGATCAGATCCACCCAGATCTAGCCAGATCCAGCCAGATCCGGCCACTAGCAAGATCTGGCCGCAGATCCAACCAGATTTAATCAGTCGAACGAAATCCAAGCACATCCAGCCAGATCCAGCAAGATCCAGCCAGACCTGACCAGATCCAGCCAGATCTGGCCAGATTTCGGCCAGATACCATTAAATTTAATCAATTCAGATCCAGCCAGATCTAGCCAGATCCAGCCAGATCTTTGCCAAAGCAATTCAGATCCGGCCAAATCCAGCCAGATTCTACCTGATTCATCAGATCAGATCCAACGAGAGCCAACCAGATCCAGCCAGATCCAGCCAGATCTAGCCAGATCCAGCCAGATCTGGCCAGATCCAACCAGATACAACCAGACCCAACCAAATTTAATCAGCCAGATCCAGCCAGATCCGGCCAGATCCAGCCAGATCACAGCCAGATCCAGATCCAGCCAGATCCAGCCAAATGTAATCAGATCAGGCCAGATCCAACCAGATCTAGCTAGATCCAAGCAAATTTAATTAGATCACTTCCAACGAGATCCAACCAGATCCAGCTAAATGATTAGATCTTCTTGGATCTGATGTGAATAGATCTGCCGAATTTGTTGGAATCTGGTTGGTTGGATGGCGCTGGATCTGATCTACTGAAATTTTGGCTGGATGCTAGATCTGGATGGGTCTGGCTGGACCTGGCTGGATGGATCTATAGCCAAGATCTGTCTAGATCGAATCACCGGCTGGACCTCGCGAGATCTGGCTGGATCTGATCTCATTACATCTTGCTGGATCTGGCTGGACCTGGCTCGATTTGATCTCATTAAATCTGATTGGATCTGGCTGGATCTGGCTGAGATCTGGCGAGATCTGGCTGGATCTGTCTGATTGCAGCTGGATCAGCTGGCTGTATCTGGCGGAGATCTGGAGCTCGCTGGATTTGATTTGATTAAATCTGGCCGGATCTGGCTAGATCTGATCTGATAAAATCTTGCTGGGTCTGACTGGATCTGATTTGATTAAATCTGGCTGGATCTGGTTAAATCTGGTTTGAGATCCAAACAGATCAAAACAGATCGAGCCACCCACTTTCGCTGGCAGATCTAGTCAAGCAGCCAAACAGCGCAGGATGCAAGCCGAACAAAATTCCACACCGCCCCTGTCACACCACCGAGCCACTTTTTGCTGCCATGCTGGCTTCGGGGGAAATGGCTTTGTCAACAAAATCGGTGAGGATCTTTTTTTGTTCCTCGCCCATCTTCACAATCACAGTGAGGAACTTTTCCTCAATGGGCTGGATGCTTTTCGCGTCATCTTTCAAGAAAGCCTGACAAAACCCCAAAAGCAACACAGAAAACAAAGTCATGATGAACAAGTTAGTGGCGCCAAAGAGATGCTGGCGGCAGCCCTATCTAGAAAACAGCGCTCTGACAAGAAAACTGGAAGCAAGCAAGCAAACTAGCAGCCAGCTCCTTGAAAAAACTAGCACATCACGGAGCAAGCTGGCAGCCAGCTTTCTCAAAAGAGCTGGCACGCCACCGAGCAAGCTGGCAGCCAACTTTCGCAAAAAAGTTGCAAAAAACTGGCACGCCACCGAGCAAGCTGGCAGCCAGCTTTTGCAAAAAAGCTGGCACGCCGGCAAGCAAGCTGGCAGCCAGCTCTTTCAAAAAACTGGCACGCCACCGAGCAAGCTGGCAGCCAGCTCTTTCAAAAAACTGGCACGCCACTGAGCAGGCTGGCAGCCAGCTTTCGCATGGCAGCCAGCAAGCAAGCTGGCAACCAACTCTGTCAAAAAAAACGGCACGCAAAGGAACTTTATCAAAAAGCGGGCGCGCCATAAACTCATCAACGTGAGCTTCACAGGCATGGCCTGAATGGAAGGCAGCCACTTCACGCCCTGCTCCAAGTTCTCCGGCTTCTTGTAAGCCATGATCCGAGCAACAAGGACCTGCTTCCACCCGAGTGGGACAGGAAAATAGTCCTGTCAAGGTCAGATGATAGGCCACAGCAAAGCGGCGCAGAAAAACACAATAGAACGACCACAGCACATGAAGTGGCCAAAGCTTGGTGGTAGCCGGCCCGTCCTGCGCCTTGAGCAAATCTTCCGCTGCAGTAGCGCAGCAAGCAAGCTCAAGGCAGCCGGCCATCTTCTCCAAGTCAGGGTGCCCTCCATGTTTCTTCTTCAAGGAACTATACCTGGACCATGACTTGCCCTATACCCCCACATGTTTTCCCTGGCATGCATCATACGTGTATGATCGAACGTTGTGGAACCGCGTTCATAATATGAACATGCTTGCTTTGAGCGAAATGAATCCAGATCACCCCTGCCAGCCCCAACACCAATAAAGAAAATTGAGCAAGCCATGGTGCTGGCCCAAGACTCCAGCAATGTCTTTTTTGCTTGGTGGAATCTGCAACTCGTAGTGGACCCGAATCATCTTGAAAAGGTCTGTCAAGTGAGCAGGAAGATTTTCTGGCATGGGACAAACGTCAGGCTTCTTGGAGTCGGAAACAGGTCCGTTCGCCAGGGGCAGGGGTGCAGCTCTTGAACTGCAAGCCTGACTGGTTTCGGCAAGTTGACCTGGAATGCTCTCAGGGGCTTGGAGATCTAGCCCCAGCGCATCTGCCACCTGATCAACCCCAGCTCCTTCCACAGACCTTGACTGCACCACTTGCTTAGCTTCTTGCCAACTGACTCTGCAAATTGCCTTCAATGGCAACATAGGCTCTGTAGCTCTTCGGAAATGTCCTTCCCGCAGCACCCTTCAAACTTGTAAAGGCTGATAGCGACGTCTGGGCCAAAGAGAACCCGAGCACTGTCCACTTCCCAGAAGTCAAACTCCGGTCCCTTGGCTGTGAACCTTTGCGCTGTCACATGCTTTTGGTGATGAAAGTTGCAAGTAAGCTGGCACGCTACAAGATTAGCAGATGAACATGTTTTGGTACTTGGTTGGTTGATTGCAACACTGTTCGTAGTCCAACGAAAGATGGGGAAAGTGGCGGGAGCCAGCTTCCATGCGTGTAAGTTACCTGACCCAGCAACCAAGCGTACCCAATTCCCAGGAGCCAGCGTTCGAGCCACACGGCCCTACTTGCAAGGCAGCTGGGTCGTTGGGCCACCAAGCCACCAGTTCCAGGCCCCCACACAGCAGTGGTCAGCTGCCATCCCAGCTGGACAGGATGTGCGTCGACAAATGGCACGGACAATGCAGAAGTTTGAGAAGCAACAGTAGCACTAGCAGCTCATAGCTAGCAGGCAAGCTTGGTTCCAGATGTTTCATGATTGCACGGTGCTCCTGAATCAGGAAAGCATGAATGACAGCAGCAACAGCAGGAGCAAGGGAGTCTTGACAGCATATTTTACTTGTGCCCAATACTCATGCATATGACCTGGTAGGTCTCCACAAAAAAAAGAAAGCAGCGCCTCCCACCCAAAGCAGGTTGACACCTTTTCACTCACGCAATGCTGTTGGTTGAACATGGTACTCACGGGACTATCTATGGCATGCACCTTGTAAACTTCATGGTTCAAAATCTCTCTATGCTTGTTTTGAGGCGCTTTGTCCGATCTATTGAAAATGGGTTTTGGATTGGATCTATTTAGGGTTCATGTCAACTTGGTTTTCGATCTGTGACCAAAAAACATGTAGGTTGGGCGAAGGTTCCTCCTTCCTTGCTTGCTTCCTTCCTTCCATCCTTCCATCCTTCCTTTGTTCCTTCCTTCCTTCCTTCCTTCCTTCCTTCCTTCCTTCCTTCCTTCCTTCCTTCCTTCCGCCCTTCCTTCCTTTACTGAAACCCAGAAAAACAGAAAAAAAACAAAACAGAACGGGACAAATAAAAAAAAACGCGCTCCAATCATTCATCAGAAACATCACACCGGGAAAAATTAAACGTTGGGGAACGCACTTGCAGTAACTGCATGTGATTATATCTCAAAAGTGATACCTGCGGTTGAAACCCAAAAAATATTGAAAGGATCACGATAAGACAGGACAGGACAAGAAAGGAACGAACATGAAAGGAAATTAATGGATTTATCACCAAGCAAGCTGGCAGCCAGCTTTCTCAAAAAAGCTAGCACACAAGCAAGCTGGCAGCCAGCTCTTTCAAAAAACTGGCACGCCACTAAGCAAGCTGGCAGCCAGCTTTCGCAAAAGAGCTGGCACGCCGCCGAGCAAGCTGGCAGCCAGCTCTTTTGAAAAGCTGGCACACAAGCAAGCAAGCTGGCAGCCAACTCTTTCAAAAGACTGGCTTGCCACCGAGCAAGCTGGCAGCCAGCTTTCGCAAAAAAGCTGGCACGCCACCGAGCAAGCTGGCAGCCAGCTCTTTCCAAAAAAGCTGGCACGCCGGCAAGCAAGCTGGCAGCCAACTCTTTCAAAAAACTGGCACGCCACTGAGCAAGCTGGCAGCCAGATTTCTCAAAAAAGCTGGCATGCCGGCAAGCAAGCTGGCATGCAGCTCTTTCAAAAGACTGGCACGCCACACCGAGCTAGCTGGCGCAGAGCACATTTCCAAGTCAAAAGTGTTTAAAAGCCAAAGGGTTTGAAGCACTTTTTGACGTTAAGATGTCCTTTCCAGAAAGATAGATGGATACATAGATAGGCAGGCAGATAGATTAGACTAGATTATGTCAGATTAGATTGCATTAGATTGGATTGGATTAGATTAGATTAGATCAGATTTGATTTAGATTGGATCAGATAAGATTAGATCAGATTAGATTACGGAAGATTAGAATACGATTAGATGAAATTAGATTAGGTTAGCCAGATAGATAGGAAGATAGCTAGATAGATAGATAGATAGATAGATAGATAGCTCGATAAAATAAAAGATAGCTAGATAAATAGATAAATGGATTGTTAGATGGGTAGCTAGCTACATAGATAGATAGATAGACAGATAGACAGATAGATACTTAGATTGTGAAATGTCTGTTGTGGTTTTCATGGCTGCAGCACATCTTGACCTGGAAAAATCAACAATTTGATACACCCAGATCTGGCTACAAGGCCGTACAGAAACCATATGGTAGAAAACCTGCAACGGAAACCCCTATTTTGCCAAAAGAAGTGTATAGGAAGGGTTTGACTAGTAAAGAGAAGCTACAATACTTGCCAGGTATGGATCCCATTTTTGTCGTCAAGCAACCGGTGTTTTATCGTCCTAGGCCGCCCGGCCTGATTGTGCCGCCAGATGTATTGAGATCCACATGGGTTCTTCTCAATGGTACCTGGACAAAGGTCGAACACCGTGCATCTCCACCCGAGCAGGCCATCAGATTTGATAAGTGGGTTGAACGAGCGTGTTTTCAGTATCATTCGCCTAACAAGCAGCCGTTGATCCCGGACACTGTTTCACAATCCGTTTCAACGACCTCAACCCACCGGGTGATGTCGTCAAAGCACGTGCATGCCCCGCCTGCCCACTCGAGATCACTACGTGACTCGTGTGCGTCAACACAACATGACCGTGTACAGCATCTGACCGATTCACCAATGCTGATGTTCTCGGTTGATGCCTTGTTTTTAGATGCACAGACATCACCGTCTCAACACCCGAAATCCATTCACCAGTGCCTTCAGCCAGCCACACGTGTGATCAATACGCTTATGCGCCTTGTTCATGGGGGGAGTGAGGGTGAAGGATGTAGTGAGGGTGAAGGAAAGGGACACCTACAGTCCACTTCAACACCTGGCCTATGTCATACGCATCCGGAATTGGACATCAATGATAACATTCCGTTTGTAAAATCCACCCGAAAATCCCAAGTGTTAGGTAAGAAAAATGAAGACCATTGGCAGTGGGATGGGAAAGAGACATTGATCCGAATTCACAAAACGCCAAGAAGGCAAAACTTTGTACCACAGGATTGCGAAGACTGTCCTTGTGACCCTAGGATCATATGTGATGAGAGGGAAACTGAACAAAAGTTCAAAACCAATACTCGAGTGATCAAAGACATATGGAGATTCAAGGGCGACAATCATGAATCAACGAACAAGTTGAATGAATTTTGGACTGGAAAATCGACATTCAAGGTGCTCGCCAATGCTGAAGTGATCGATGGAGGTAAGAACTGTAAAGTGAGTCAGGGAGTAATCACGCTATGCACCAATTGCAATGACGTGAAAACTATTCCCATCACTGATGTTTTTGTCCCCTACCAATATCACGTTGAAGTAGGCAAACATGAGGTTGACCATCCTACAGTGTCGGTAATCCTTTGGAGAGAAAAGAAAAACAGAACTTTGG